CTTCAAAATCTAACCATGAACAAAATGGTTGTATTTCAAAATCTGATATGAGAAGTTCATTCTTTCCAACTAGCAGAGCTGCAGATCTACATGAACCTAAAATTAACTTAATCAAATCAGAGACTTTGTCTTCAGGAAATGAGGAAAGTAATTATTTAATTTCTGAAGATTCTTCTGAGTGTGAACTTCTAAATATGATTCCGGGTGGTAATTGTGATCAAGGAGATACAATTTTAATTCCAACTGAGTATTGCTGTCCGCTTTGTTGTGAAGGAAGTATGGTTGCCGTGAAACAAATACTTATGGACACAGCATGTTCTTCAAAAAGGCCATACATTGAAGACTTGGACACTGGAGCTGAAGGTATGAAACATGTAGACATTTCTGATAATTCAAGTATAGAAATGTTTACATATTCACATATTCAGGACAATAGAAGTGATTGTGGTTTTTCTTATGAAGATGATTCCATGGAACAAAACAATGATTATGACAGTAATTCTAATTCCATTATGATGAGCTTTACCAGTGTAAAGGAAGAAGATGATTATAGTTTAGAAGGGACAAGTGGTGGTGACAAGGGAGGTGATAAAAGAGAAGGTACTATAACCACAAGTTCTAAACAAGGAAATGTGAATGTGAAATCTGAGAGAAGCGCAGATGATAATCCTGTAAGTTGCTTAGTTTGTGGTGAAACTGTGATGAACTTGAATCAGTGCTTAGTACATGCACTGTGTGCTCATGCAGACAGTGAAACACATTCTTATCAATGTAGTCTGTGTGAAAGGTGCTTCTGTGTTGATACAGACCTGACTCGACATTTTATGAACATACACCAGAATATGAAGGTGAGTGTCCCATTATTTGCTATAAAATAATTGACAAATGGTTGCTATGCAGTGTAATGTTTTGACAATAGAAAAGTCCAGAATGTACAATCTTCTCACAGACTGAGAATCATGTCTTTAACCCACTACTATACCTATTGTAGCCACACACGACAATGTGACATTGCTTCAAAATAACCTAAATACTTTGGTTTTTAGAAGTTGTGTTGACAAACTGGGGTTAATCTCAAAATGGCTGTCTTCTCGGTTATTGCAAGAAGACAGCCATTTTGAGTCTTGTAGAAGTTAACCAACATTTCAGAGGTCCTTGCTGCATCCATCATTAGGGTGATGACTTCTACCAGACTACATGCTGCTACAACCCAGAAGACAGCCAACTTCATACTCACCACCATGAAAACCTCAAATCCTACTTGGGGTTATTCTTATTTATATTTCAGAGTGACATCCACAAGGTGGAAAAAACCTCGGGAGTCATTACACAACCTTTGTACTTGACTGTACCTAGTAATTGTGTTGGTGTGACAGTAGTTGCCATAAAATGAGTAGTTTCACAATGTTATCTTTTGAAATGTTAACAAACTTTGTGTGGTTATTCTATATTGAGTTTTAAGCTTTGAATTCTTCAAAATTATATTCCATCTTTATGGTGTTCTGCCATTGCCATGCCATTTTCCTATGATGAAAAGTAAGCATTGAAACTTTTTAATAAGGTAATAATCATGTTTAATGATTACTTATCTTTAATATTGTCTGCAATTCTGGGTCATGTTAGCAATATGGATGCTGGAATTCATTTGGCTGTTTGTAAAAAAGTAGAACCTTTTTAGGCGCGCACAGGTTTTATTGAATCATAATATGAAAATGTAATCCTTTAGGATGCAAGATTGCTTCATGTCTGCGTTGTTTGTGGTCGACGTTGTGCTTCCCAGCGGGCCCTGAAATCTCATGTGTGTATTCCAATGAACTCTGTGCCAGATCAGCTTGCGTGCAAGACTTGTGGCCAGTCTTTCAGCACCAAGGCACGTCTGGCATTCCATCAGCAATTCCATGATTCTGATGCCCGCTCTCTTGAATGTGTCCCATGTGGGATGGTTTTCATAGAAGAGGACAACTTATATGACCATATTAGGTTTGTAAACTTCTCTCTTTGTGCATAATTATAATCTAAATAATGTTGTCTTGATTGTCTTTGTCCTCTTCTTGAATAAACAAGATTGTACTTATTAATGTGTGTATGACACTATGTTATTACTGAATGATAAACAGCACATGCAGTATGATTATGAGAATGAGTATTTATTAAAGTTAGCATTCAGTGAGGCTGAATTTATGTTTCATTCTACATGCAGCCTCTTCTGAAAAATATACAGAAAAAATTATAATGTTCTTATTATTAAGATGGCTGACTTCTAGGTTGTAGCTGCCGTGATGATAGAGCAGCCAAGACCTCTGAAATTTTGGTAAATTTTACCAGACTACACAGATTTACAACCCAAAAGACAGCAATCTTGTAACTTGCTATCATGAGAACCTTAAATCCTGTTATTATTGTTTTGCTTATATGATGTACTGAGACAGCATATACTGTTCATAAGTTTTGTTCTATCCTGGCTGCTAGTTTTATTGAGATGTTGGCATATTTAGGATAATTATGTATGTATAGTGTAACTGGAGAAATGTGGAAGTCTGCTTTAACACTGCGTTTGCCAGCTGTATCACCATTCTTATACATTGCTTATAATACACCAGAAGAAAGGGCAGATGAAGAAGTTGCGTTTCGATTATGCTGGATGTCTGCCTGCAATCTAGGTGTGTGAAATTTGGTTTTAATAGAACAGGCATAACCTATGCAGCAAGGGGTTAGCAGGAATTTGGACTAATTAACTAGATGGCTTACGGAACCCAAAGGTTCATCACCGAATTAACCAAAGCCCTCCACCGGTCTCTGTCCTGGGCCAACAAAATCCAATCTCCTTCAATTCCTATCTCCCATGGATCCTGCCTGATATATCCTCCCATATATGTCTAGGTCACCAATGTCTGTCCATTTTGTTGTACACAACTTGATTAGAAACAGATACCTTCTGCAGTTTGTCCATAAACCTGCATCTGAATTTCAGAATTTTGAACAGAGAAACAAGAAAACAGCATGTCCATCACAACAGCAACTACAGATGACTCAGGTGCTTGATAACTGCTATACTGCATGTGTTTTCCCCTCTCCACCCTCAGATCACCATCTTAACAGCAGTGAATGGAATTGAGAACTCACTCCCTTAAGTTACAATACTTCACTTGTTCGGTCACAATTACAGCAGCTTGAGGTGTGATTCATAAAAACCTGTGTGTGCATGTAACACCATTTTAATAAATCAATAGACTGGTAAAATAACTACAAACTGGCTGGGACAAAGTATAGTAACCCTCTTGCTCTGACAAGTGCTGATTGTCTTTGGTTTTCCTAGTTATAACCTTGCTAGGATTTTTTTGTTGGAAGAATATGAAAAATGTATTTCTTCAAATGTTATTTTTAGATTTACACATCAAGGACAATCATTCATTTGTAGTGAATGTGGAGGGCACTATAATAGCAGAGCAGCTCTTCGTGTCCATATGCGATCTCACCGCAACTTGAGACATTATAAATGTGAAGTCTGCAATAAGACATTTCTTGATAAACAGGTACGTAATGATGACCCATTACTCTTGCAGAGAACATGTGGAAAAACTGTATATTTCAATACAGATTATACCTTTTCAGCCTTGTTACAGTCTTCTAGACATATTTTGTGGGAAGACAAAACAATACTGAATGGATTCACACACACACACACACACACACATTCATGCTTGCTCCCTCACTCACTCACTCTTCTATTCAGTCATTCACTTCCTTTTAAATGTGAAGATGGACGGTATTACATGAGTAAATACAGTAACATTCAGTATTTAAGCCTTCAGTAACAAGTAACCTTTCCCATCTAACAGCTTCTTCTAAGATTTCATTCAGTTTTCCCTTTTCATATCGCAGCTTGTCATTGACTTGATAATATTAGTTTGGAAATTGCTACAGGTGCTTCTGTTTCTGTCTTATAAGTTTCCTGGTATCATTGTTTGCAGACATTAAAGGAGCACTCTGTATCTCACATGGAAGTGAAGCCGTTTCAGTGCCACATATGTGGCAAATATTTGAACCGAAACTCACGACTCAAGAAACACTTGAAGTCACATGAGCTGCAGAAGATTACAGAACCTCAGGAATGCTTCCAGTGCTCAGTTTGTGGAGAGACTTTTCCAAATGAACCCAAAGCTATTGCACATGCTCATATTGGACATTCACGGCCTGGTGAGAGTGAATGTGTATTCCAACTTTACCCTATAGACAAGGTAACATACTGAACATAAAAGTTGTTTTAAATGCAAAGTGCCATGTGATACTGCAAAATCTTTTACTTATCTTCCTGCTGTCCATGTTATGTGTCATGTAACTTTGGGTTTCCATAGGAGTTCTGTGGACAGATTTCTCTAATTGCAGATTGTGTCATGAACATCAATCTGAAAATAATTCTACATTAAAATTAAAAGTTCAAAAGCTGA